TCATAGAATGTAGACTTCAAGAATCACTGAGTAATTTGCTGATAGTCTTAAACAAGTGTTTTTGTCACCCCAGGTCGCAATGATTGAATTTTCAAATATTTCTATGAGTAAGCTCATTTTTCCGTTAGAGTTCACATAAATTCAATGAAAATGTGATATTTATTATTTCATTGCTGAAAATTCAACTTTCAGTCCTTTATTTTGTAGTGACCTATCCTTACTTTTCATACTCAATGTTTAGTTTTGCTACACTCTGTACGTAGCCATGGCTCAGCACCCTTGGGCACAGACATCGCGTCAGTGTATGACTAATCTTCACTCTTTATTTCGCGTCAATCAAAGCTTGCCACTGCATCGTCAAATAAGAATTTGACAAGTATACCTACTCTATGTTATATCAACTAGCTAACATACGTTGATTGGTCACGTTTTCTTCCTTCCCTGTGAACCGCGGAGTTCAGACTTTTTTATTTCACGCCGCCTTTAAATAATAGTATTTCTTTTGTCGGCCCCCTATAATGTATTGAGCCGTTTCTAAATATCACACTTGGTAACACTATTTTTCTTTTTCTTTCGTTTCGGAGCTTCCAAATTTGGAGTCGTAGAGTGCAAGCGTTTTATATTTTAGAGACAATTCACCTCCTTTTCTTATCCGCTCTATGATGACTATAACCCTAACTTATGAATTTAATATCCTAAATGGAAGGAAGTCTGTATGTATATTCATGGTGAAGATGGATGAGCAAGAGGATAGTGGGAAAAGGAGCTGGAACACGACATTTAATAGAGCTAAGAGGCACACTTTTTACCTCGAGGAGAGTGACTGTTAATGATATGAGCATTGGGACTTAACAAAGGCGATTTAGAAGCAGGCCCCTGGAATAGAAGCGAAAATGGCGTCAAGTGGAGGCGCGCGATGGCAACAACTAGTCGCAAGGAAGCAATGGCCAAGTAGTTCTTCCTGTCTTAGTCTCTTGCAGGGTTTGGATGTCGGCCAGAGGTAAGAATTGATGATGAGTTCAGTACATCCATGGGATTTTATTCTTCGACCCGAGGAGGGACTTTGGGTAAGAGATATCCATAGGCAGTAAGGCTTCCAGACACTATGTCAAATAAGGCAATGAAGGATTGAATGACAGATAAGGGATTCAAGATTTTTTTCCAACATGACATGATCAGTCCTCACGTTTACGTTGAACTTTACTTGGCCTTGCTACTCGAAATATATTCTCATTCATGATGGACTGCAGTCTCAACTATCGCCTAGTTCTCTGTATACCCAATAGTAATAGAATTGGTAGTGTAGCCTATGATTTTTATACGTTACCACCACACCACATGGCCACTAGTTCCCCATGAGTCACAAAGCAGCCGTAAATTTCAAAGAAGACAATTCCTCTTCTCATGTCCTTGTGGGAAAATTTTAATTATCAGTCATCCACTTATGCAATCTAGGGTAAGTTTAGCTAATATTTTAGATTTACTGGTAATCTCTAAAACCCATCCATGGATATTCATAAGTGATCTTTACCTAAAGCATGTGTTGGGAAAAGGCTGGCTGCACATGTAATGTTGTAGTTGAATTTTGATTACAGGTACACTACAGCCTCATGAGCCTAGCATAAGCACAACCACATGCCAGATCTTTCGTTACTAGAGAAACATCCCATTTAAGATTATTCAGGTATGGAAATACCTTTTAGCATAGAATGGCGTAGCTTTATTTTTTCTCGTTGTTTTGTTCTTATCTCTTCCAAAGAATTTAAGCAATAATCCTTTTATTAAAGTTTGAATATATAACTTATTCTACATCGCCTGTTCTGCTCTTTGTTCGCATTCATTTATTATATTGTGCTTTTTCCATTAGTTTTAATTCTTGGATCACAAATTGTGAAAATAAGATTGCACGGAGTCTATACTAGCATATTTTTTCCAATAAAATTTTGAACTCAAGTTTTTAATTTAATTTGTCTACCTTACAAGATATTTTAATAACTTTATCTATTCCTTGCAACTTTGTTCCCACAGACGGATTGCCTTTCTTCGTTTATGCCTGTGATATTTCCCCACGCGCCATAGACATTCTTCGCCAAGACCCAGAACTCTCGCGTTGGTGCCATGCTTTCGTCTGCGATATCACCCAACCTGGTCAATTACTTTTGCAGCTAAAGGTTTCTACGGCGAAAGTTATAGAATCAGGTGCTTCGGATTGTAATCTTCACCTTAAGAACCATTCAGTTGCTCCTAATGTTGATGCTGCAGATAGTCTAGACATTGGATTACAAAGCGTCTTGCCTCCTATAAATCCCTTGTCTCCGCCTAAATGGTTTAAAATAGTAAGCATGGTATTTGTGCTATCTGCTATTCCAGCAGAAAAGATGCAGATCGCGCTTCAAAATGTTGCTAGGTATGTTAAGCGAATGATAAGTTTGAAGCAACTAAAGTTTTTGTATGGTAATTTCGCGAATTCTTGATTTTATCAATTTGATTGTTTCATCTTGATATTTAGTCCGCATAAAAGGCTTAAAAATATATGACTTCATTTTACTGCAAGTTGACAAATAATGTAAGGCAGTTATTACGCAGCAATATTCCTTTGGATATTCTGTACTCTTGCCCTAAGTTCGGACTTTAGTTCCATCATTTTAAAAATGTCACTAACTCTAGGCTCTATTTGAGTCTATGTTGAATTCTAAACTATAGGCGCCTTTGGCTTTATTTACCCAATGTCTTGCTTTTTCTGCTTATTATGAAATGAGGAGGCATCATTTTGCCTATTAGTTTTATTTACTCTAATCGCAGATATGATGATTTATGATTTGTTTATATGGGAATCTTCCGAAGGTGTGTTTTTTTGACCGTGTTTATTGCAGCATTTTCATAACTTTATCTGGTTTTAACGTATATGCTGTTGCCTTTATTTTGGTCGCGGTCTCCTCTAGACGTATAGAAGCGGTCTGACTTAGTTTTCATAATTTAGTCGTGTTGTCAGGACGACCTTGTGTAACTCATCATGTTCGAAACCCTCTGCTATATTAGTTACGATAATTCCCAGTGTTGAACCGTTGACTTGGTACATTCCCTGATATTTCACCGCCATCGTCAGTGAGTCTTGCAAGTCTTAGCATCAATCTACAACTCGCCATAGAGACAAGTGAAGTCAATCCCTTGACATGCTTTCTTTCAAACAGTTGTGCTATCACTCCTCTTTCTGTCCTGGAATATATGCTGACTCCCTACTATCTTAACTCACTGTCGTCCCAATACACATTATGACTTGCTTATATTCTAATTATCTGTGGATGTGCCCTTACTTTGAAGAACTTGGTGTGTGGCGTCATCTAATCTGCTTTTACCTTACCAACCTCGAATCTCTATTTGCTGATATGAGGAACAAATGTGCTATCATTCTCCTTTTCCTTGCACATCTACCTACTCTCTACCGTCTATCCCACTATCGTCCTATCACAACTTGTAACTTGTTTTTATTCGATTCCTCTATAGGTATGCGCTTTTTGGCGAGCTTGGTGTGGCTTCATCAACCTGCTATGTACCCTGCCCCCCTCTTGATTTTCTAATATGATTTTGGCCTCCTATCCGAATCTCCCGCATAGGCACGTAGATCTGTGTTTATCTTTCTAGTTAACTGATTTCATTTGGTTCCAGTCAAGGTGCAATCGTTTGACCAAAAGTATGTAAAGGAATTGACTTCATGTGTCTATAAAGAATTGTAGCTTGGTGCTGAGACTGGCAAAGCTAACTGACGATGCTGGGAATTTACCAAGGCCAAGGCCCAACTCTGGTAATTATAATAGAAACTACTGTGAACTGCTTGGGACTACTATAGCACAGGACCTCGGACAAGGTAAGTCCAACTAGGTCGCCCTTACAACATGACTAAGTTGTGAAAACGAGGTCAGATCACTTCTATACATCAATAGAAGACTGCAACCAGCATAGGGACCACAACATCTTGCTCCTCATATCTACACTTAAACTACGATGGCAAGATTTTCAGACAATACACTGAATACAGCCAGAAAATGCCATCTGACCTTTTTTAAACCGTTGTAAACGTTATGGTATTACT